CTCGCATGCTTGAATCGACTTCAACAGTGTTTGAGAATTCGAGTTCCATTTTCTCAGGTTGAAACCACCGCTAGCCATAATTTTCTTCGATTTCTGATAAACAACGAAACCGTTCTCGTCGTTCTGTTCTCCAGTTAAAAGATCGTCCACGTACAGAGACTTGTTTAACAGCTTGTACATTTCGGGCTCACTTTGTTTGTAGAGATTTAGATGATGCGCGATGGTTTCGTCCAGGATAGAAGGGGATGGTCTCAGACCAAAAACTAAGCGATTAAATCGATATTCATTGATTTCTGGCTTCTTGGCAAATGGATCCTTAAACCACTTTAAAACGATTTTAAAGATGTGAGGAATGTAGTTTTCTCCCACTTCCAAACAGTCATTAAGAAAGCGTTCGTTCTTACAATTCTTCGCAGAGCCATCGTACACGATTCTAACCTTTGTCGTTTCACGGTCTCTCCGCAAGACTGCGTGATGTGGTGCGTAGTGAATTCGTCTCGTGCTAAGTTTATCTTCCTCTAGCGTTTGATCTTCGGTCTCAGGTACAATCTCGACAATCCCTTTCTTTCTTTGCTCTTGGATGATATTGTCGTATTCATTCAGCAAATTCGGCTCACTCTTCAACTTCGAATGCAACGATCGTAATCTCCTAGCACACATTGCATAATTGTTGGACTGTTGAAAACAATCACCCTTCCAGGGCAGGTGAACTTCATAATAACTACTATTGAACGTAATTTCTCCCTTTCGTTTGACTAATTCGCCTTGGCGGTCGGTGTCTACAATTCTTAGACTCTCAACGTCCCAGAATCTTTTCAGCATGTCCGTGATCTCGTCAGCTTCATTCGTTTCGTTTAACAATGGTTTACCAGAGATGATAAGATTCGAGACGACATTGGAAATTTCATGGACATGTTGCTCTTCGGTAGCGCCTGACAGAAGCCAACCAAACTTGCTGTTGATGGCTGTGGGACCAAATTCACCGCGGATTGATTCTCCAGTGACAATGTCCCAGTAATAATCTGAGCCAATGAGAATTTCAATGGAGTCTAGGTCGAACGCAGAACGGTCTGCTAGATCTAAATCTATCAAATGTGGGTATTTCGAGACGTCTATTCTCTTAGGAAGTGGCGAACAAATGACTGGAAAATTAAGCACTGAAATCTCCACGTACTCATCTTTATTGCTTCTTAGTGGCAAAGTAACAACTTGACATTTTTGTTTACGATAAGCGTTTTCACCAAAAGTGTTAAGGTGAAGGGTCTCATTGGACGTTGCAGTTAAACCCAGCTTCGCTTTGATGTGGTCGGTGACGTATGAACGTTGGCTGCCATTGTCGAACAAAATTCGGACGGGAATGGACTTGGATCGGTCTTCGTTTGTTGCTATCGCGATAGCAGTTTGTAACTAAATACTCCCCTTAATTCTCGACGTCGCAGTTGTAAAATGAGTTGTTGAGGCTCCTGTATTAGCCGTATTGACTCTCGTTGCGTTGTTTGTGACTTGGGTCTCCGGTTTGCTTTGAGGACGGTTTTCCGAGAGGTGGGGAATGAGAATTCAGTGATTCACCCGGTGATTTTACTTAACAGATCGATTGATGATGTCTACGCTTGCAATTTCTACAACTCTTGTCGCACTGATTACCTAAATTTCCCTTCTTGAAACAC